CAGGTCTCATGCACTTCCCATGGTTGAACTGCATCTTCTGTCCCACCACTGCTGGTGACAACCTTCCACAATTACATGTCCATGCTGGTATCCAGGTTCCTCTGTGCTTTCTAGATGGTCCCTACATTGCTGTGCCACTGGTCAGCGAAGTGACCACCCAAAAGTTGCATCTTTCTCCTAGATGAAAAGTTCAGTTTTCTTTCTAGCAACACATATCGCCCTCCTTGGCTTGGCTGTGCCAGCATAGGCAGAGAACTGCACCCCGTGCCACCTGCAGTGCCTGCTCCTCTTGCAGACATGCGGGTCCACTCTGCTGCCTTGTTTTGACACAAAGATTTCCCTCAGCCATGTCTCATCACCACACAGTTCCTCTGCTTCTCTCCCCTGTATGCCTCTCATGTTTTGAAACAGCAGATTACATACGGTTGTCTTAGTTTTTGCTCATGTTTCTGACTGTCTTTGGTCCCTATTGCTACTTCTCAGACTTTTATCTGGAAATGTCATTAAAGAGAAATTTGTTTCTGCTCCAGATCCTTCCTGGAAATGCTATGCTGGAAACAACACAACCTGCTGTATCCACCCTGAATCGGTGTGCAACTGTGCATATCTGTTGTTCATCTTCTGACACAGCCTTTCACCCAATCTCAGTGACAGCAAAGCTCCAAAAATCCTTTTGAAGCTGACCTAGGCAAGGGCATCCCATGAAGAACTGTCCCTAGGGCTAGACTGAAAGCACGTGCTTTGAACCACTGTGTTCCTTTCATCTGCACCAATTTACCTCACAAGCACACAGCCAGTGAGTGTGGTGGCTGCAGCAAAAATGGGGTGGAGGAGCAGAGGCAGAAAAGCATGAGCTATGGGTCAGGACAATGGGCAATGCTAAATTAACTGGGGAGAGAAAGAAGGTGGGAGCCCAGTTGCAGCTGCTTTTAGACTAACAAGGCCTCCAGGCTCTAAGGCTCTGTTTAACTGCCATTGCAAACCCATCCTACGTGTCCTTGGGAAGAGACAAGTGGTGTTGTAAGCCAAACATGAGTGTGGCAGGCCAGGGATCTGCTGGCAAGGCAGGGGATGGGGCTCTCTGCCATGCTGTGGCTAGTTCCCATCCTCCAGCTTTCAGGTGCCAACCTCTCACGGGGAAGCCAGGAATGTGGTTTCTGTCCTTCACCTGCAGTGTCTGCTCAGCTGGAGCTGCTTGGGATGTGCTGGGGGTGTAAACACAGGGGCCAGCCCTCCTGTACCACTTCAAATCTCCTGGATGCTCCTATCAGCCAGAGGACATGGTGGCAATAGCAGCACGTGATGGAAAAGGAGACTGAGTGCCTCCCCTCACCAAACTTCTCTTTGGAGAGGCGGTGACCTCGGTGTTGGAGGGGGACTTGGCACCTCAGCCTGTGTGACAAATTTTAATGGGCTGCTTTGTCTGCGCAGCTCTGGTTAGAAATACTCTTACTCAAGTTCACATCAAAGCAACCTGGGCCTGCTTCCAAAAACTGAGTTACTTTTGCCTTGTTAGGCTTTTACATCAAGCAGCACTTCAGTTTCTCCAGCCAGCAGGTTTCCAAGCAGGCAGGAGCACCTGGAACAACCTGTTTCGATTAGCATTTTACTTATTTATGGTGCCAGTGCTATATCCAATGCCTGTCAGTTGCAGAGGAGCCACCCAGCTCCCCTGCACCGGCTGTGGAGAGCACTGCTGCACTGCCCTGTGGGTCAGGGCACAATGGGAATAGGTAGGGATGTGCTCACACTTGCCTGCTTTATTTCAAGAATAATCCTGGAGATGTGCAGCCCTAGCTCAGTGTGGGTCACCCAACACCATGAGCTCCAGCTGTAGCAACAATAGCTCCAGCTTCTGGGTCACCTAAACATCCAAACCTGACTGGCAACCCCACAGAGCCATCACTGATCACCAGCACACACACCAGGCAACCAGGCAACCTTTCTGTAGGGAGACACTCTGCTGTGCCTGCTGACCTCCAAAGCACCCACGAAACCTGAGCTGCCTCACAACGCTGTCGTGGTGGACAGATGTTCCAGAATTGCTAAACTCTTTCCATAGTTTAGCATTCTCCTTGTCAAATTTATCCTATCTCCTCTTCAGCAAGGAGCAACATAAATAATCTTCGGTCATCCCATCTGTTCCTCATCCTGCAGTTCTCCCTGGAGATTTGCTGCCACCTCAATTGGGCTGCAAACTCCCTGGGCAGGAACCACTTTTGGTGCCTGTTGGTAAAAAGCCACATGCACCTCTGTGCCATCATGAAGTCTGCTAAAAGGCAGCATGACCCAAGCACAAGGTCAGTGCCTGAGGAAGCAATCATGGGAATTTCTGCTCTCAATGAAGGCTCATCATGTGAAATAGGCCAAAAGGAGCCTCCAGCTTGCCCTGGAGGGACAATGGACCATTCATGCCATGAGCAGGATAAAGGCAAATGAGATCTCAGGAGATGGCAGGCAAAATACTTTCAGTGTGTGCAAAAGCACGTGAAAGGAAGGATTCTCAGAGAGACCACGAGGAAGGAGAGCCCTTGGCCACAAGAAGAGTTTGGCTCATAGAACCTGGCACTAGAAAGTCTAAGTATGGGTGCAATCACAGTTTATAAATACCCAGGGGAAAACACCAGGGATGGAAAAGCACCATTTAAATTGAGGGGCAAAAGATCACAAAAGTAAATGGATACTAAACAGATTAACAGTGGAACCCTCTCTCAGAGGAAGTGAGAAGGGAAGAAAACCACAAACTAGTCTTTTCTCAGCAAAGTTCCTCCAATTTATGGAAGGGGCCATAAAGGGTCTGATGCTTGTGACAGCCTGAGAGAGGATTTCACTGCCCACGAGGACCCCTCTTGGTCTCAAGTTTAAAGAGAAGACCAAAACTACATCTAAATTTTTATATTTGGGGTCAGCTTTTGGTTCCCCTGCTTTGTTAAAGGAGAGATGCTCAGGAGGACACACAAGACCAAGACAGTGGAAAAGCTGAAGAAGGAAGGCATAGCCTTGCACCATGATAGTCATGATGCACCCTCCCTTGCTGAACTGCTGGCCTGGAGCACCTCCAGCCTCTGCAAAAGAACTTTAATTTCCAGAGCCAAGTGAAGTGCCTGGGGTAAATCCCATCTTGTCCTCTGTCAAGGTCAGATGGGCAGGGAGAAATAGCATGGGGTCCCAAGGAAATGCCACTCTCCAGAAAGTGCTTCTTGCCAGAGGAGACCTTGCAGGGCACAGAAATGAGCTCAGCAAGCAAGCCAACAGTGTCGGAGATACTCTGAAGCAGATTAGGTACCTAATTAAAAAACAAACATATTTCTCATTCTCTCTCCCTCACCTGGCGCCTCTGGGAAGCCAAAATCCTGCAGTGCTTGGATGAAGGGGGGGAAAAAACCCACCAGACTGAGAGGCAGATAAAGATAAAATTCTGCCACAGAGATTAGCAACGGGAGAGCCTTTGTAGGTCACATCACGTCCATCATCCCTGGGCACACAGGCTGGCTCCACTCCAGCCTCCCAGGGGCGGGGGGCACGCGTACCCCCTCTCCTGGCGCCCAGCAGCAGCCCCGACGCAGCCAACCCGCTCCCAGCGTGATGTGCTGTACTGTAAACAAGCTCAGGCAGATGGACAGACAGACAGAATGCCCGCATTAATCAAGTCCTCAGATGTCCTGGGGCTCTCCAGCCACCCCTCCGAGTCACCCAGAGGGGACATCACGCACCCACCCGGCTGGGAGGACAAGGGCTGCTTCCCCACCACCACCAGCAAGCCAGGCCACCTTCCCTTCTCCTCCTTGTTTCCACCTGGCACTGCTTTTATTTTATTTCCCCAAAGCCAGCCTGCTGCTTTGCCTCCCAGTTCCCCTGCGCATGTGTCTCCCCTGCGTTCTCTCCCTGCCTGCCCTCCCTTCTCTGCTCCCGGCTGAGACCTCAATCTCTCCCCCGCCAGCTCGCTGCTGCAGCTCTCGCTCCCTTAATCCCAATGACCTTCTTGAACAAACGCGCCAGCCCCATGGGCAGCCATGGGATCAGCGTCACGAGAAGAGGGAGAAACCTTCCCAAGACACCCCAGTCAGGCTCCTCTTTCCCCCTGCCCCCTTTCCCCAAGAATTACAAAGAGGAAAACATTACAGGGAAAGCAGGTTGGGGGGCTGAGAGGGTAAGGGTAAAACACAGAGCAACATCCAGCCCTCACAGCCCCCCTCAACTCACCCCAGCACGGCCTGAGCCCAGCACTCTCTGACCCCTAGGAAAGCAATTCCAGGACTGCAGCATCCCCCCCTCCCGGGTTCCCCCTGTCACCCCACATCCTGCTGTCTCCCTGCATCCACCATAAACACACAGAGATGGAAGAGTGAGAAGACATCCCACCCTGGAAACCACCAGAGATGGAGACAGGGTCACGGTCCAGCCTGACTCACCCTTTCCCTCCCCGCGGAACAAACCCCAGACCAGCCCGCTCTCACCCTATATGGGCCTACATCCACACACACAGATAGACGTACATACAGCTGTACGTCTGTGTGCATGTATACGTCTGGATATACCTGGAGATTTATACATACAGAGACATATAAACCCAGAGGCAGATCCCTATATCCAAACATACCTGCAGATATATATAAGAGACGCAGCCATAAATGCTATGGAAGCATATACGTACATATCTCTGTGTACAGATCTAGGCTGTGCAGAGACCTATTGATGGACACATGCATATTATATACGTGGATACATACGCATACACATGCATATATAAAGCATATAATAATAAATATGTAACACATAACAGATTACATATAATAACGTGTAATGGGATAGAACATACAGCGCGATGGTTTTATGTGTGTGTGTGTGTGTGTGTGTGTGTGTGTGTGTATGCAGGTGTGCAGGAAGGTCAGGTGTGCGCTCCGGAGGGAGCCCCGCGCCCCCCGCAGCCCGGCGGGTCGCCCCCCGCCCCACTGCCGGTGCCGGTGTCGGTGCCGCCCGCGGGGGCGGCGGGGCCTTACCCAGGAGACGAACCGCAGGATGGTCTGCGGCTGCCGGATGAAGGCCTGCGGGTCGAAGGCGCCGCCGGCTTTCCCCGCTCCGAAGGCGCCCCCGTCCATGGCGGCGCGGGGGTGGGCGGGAGGCAGGCGGGGGGCTCGGCGGGCGGTGCCGGGCTGCGCCGAGCCGAGCCGGGCTGCGCCGAGCCGCGCCGAGCCGAGCCGTGCCTGGCAGCCCGGCGGCGACGAGCCGCGCGCGCCCGCCCACGGGGACGCGCCGCGCCGGGAGCGCGCACCCACCCCTTCCCCCCGCGCCGCCGCCCGCGGCACATGGCGGGGACAAACGCGGGGCCAGGTGGGCCGGGGCCGTGCGGTGCCCCGGGTGCGGGCGCTGCGGGGGTGGGAACGCCTCCCGGCGCTAAGGCGGGCCACTCCAGACCCCCGGGGAAGGGATGGGGGCGATGCTGCTCCTGGTTTCTGTGGGGCCCGGCGGGGCGGGCCCCCTGCTCGGCCCTAGTGAGTGAGGCCGCGTGTGGGGGCCGTGTCCGGTCCCGAGCTCCCAAGTACGAGAGCAAGAGCTACCCGAGAGGGTCCCGCAGAGGCCACAAAGATGGTTTGGGGTCCGGAGCATCTCTTAGGAGGAGAGACTGAGGGAGCTGGGCCTGTTTAGTCTGGAGAACAGAAGACTGAGAGGGGATCTCATTAATGCATATAAATATCTCAAAGGTGGGTGGATGGTGCCAGACGCTTCTCAGTGGTGCCCAGCAGAGCAATAAACTAAAACAAGGGAAATTTCACTTGAACGTGAGGAAGAACTTCTTTACGTTCAAGGTGGCAGAGGAACTGGAACAGTTCCTGGAACCGGGGTATCATGGAGTCTCCTTCTCCCGAGACACCTGGGTACCTTCCCATGTCACCTGCTCTAGGTGTCCCTGCCAAAGGACTAGGTGATCTCCAGAGCTCACTTCCAACCCCAGCAATTCTGGTCATTCTGGGATGCTGCCCCACAGAAGCCCCCATAGAGGACTAAAGCTGGGCTCTTGGGCACAACCTATTATCCCTCACCAGGTGCCTGCCCTGGACAAAGATGCTCGGTGAACTTCAAAATCACTCTACAGCAAAGCCTGGGGCTCTCATTTCCAGCATCTGCCACCCTACCCGCACTGTGTCCCTGGGAGGGAGTGGGAAAAGGCCCTCTGTGAAAATGGGGAGTCCAGATTTTGGAGAGATCCCGTGACTTTAGGAGGCAGAGACTGCAAGATGCACACCTTGCACTCCAGAGGCTGCAGCCTTGACAGTAACTTGGGCTTCTCCATTGCCCGCATTACCACCATGGCCACTGGCACAGCCAAGAAGGGATGTGTGAGGAGAAGCCTTCCAGCTTTAAGGACAATTCCAGCTCCTTGGGCCGTGCCTGTTGTTCAGAACAGCTGCATCCCAGTGGTCTGCTGGCTTTTGCCGAGTCCCTGATAATCTGTTTTATCAGGACTGAAATGGAAAGCAAGCCCTTGGGTTGTGACACAGTTCCCTAAGCTCAGCAGTGGAAGCCAAAAATGTACAAGAGCTAAAGGTGAATGTATGAGGGAGATGGAAGAGCATTTAAAGCTAACCCATGGGCTCCCATTGGGAGTTCCAAAAAGTGAGCAGCCATTCCTCACCTTCTGTGGGGCTCCTTTTGAGGAGAAGATGGAAGATTCCTCCATCATAGCCAGCCACAGAATCCTAGGATGTTTTGGGCTGTTAAAGGTTATCTTGTCCAAACCTCCCTGCAATGAGCAGGGACATCTTCAACTAGATCAGCCTGCTCAGAGCCCTGTCCAGCCTGACCTTGGATCTTTCCAGGAGTGGAGCATCCCTGTTTTAGGAAGATGAGCTGCAGTGCCAGCACAGCTGGATCCTTAGTTCTTCAGTTCATTCTGGGTGCAGGAATCTCCCCGTGATGTTGTGTCAAACACATCCTTATCCATGAGCCCTCGAAGATCCTGAGGGCAAACTCTGGGTGCCCCATGTGTTCAGGAGGCTCCAGAGCACCGGCTCTGGGTTCCACTGACACCATTGCCTTGGGTTTGCATCCCCTTCCATACCACAAGCAATGGTGGATTAAGTCCATGTTCATTATAATAACAAGATGAAATTTCACTAAATGAAATGAAATTTTGAAACTCCATTTCAAGAAAGGAAATTAAATGAAAATTAATGTAATGAAATTTCAAACTTTCATAAACTGAGTGAAATTTTGAAATTTCATGAAATGAAACTAGCATAGTGAAATAAAATTTAATTAAATGAAATAAAATGAAACGATGAAATCTTGATGAAATTAAACATTAACAGTTAAATAATAAACAATTAAACAATGTCAAAATTCCATAACAAGAAATTAAATGTCAAAATTTCTCTCATTTAATGAAATCTCGTTGAATGAAATGGAGTGGAATGAAGTGAAATAAATATTATCTTATATGACCGGTCACGATGCGCACTGAAGTTCCCCACAAGCCCTGCCAGATGGTTTGTACGGACTTGTTTTTCCGCGCATCGCTCCCCGCGCACCTTTGTGGCCGCGCTCGCTGCCCGTAGCGCCGCGCGCGCCGCCGCGGCACCTGCCCTCTCGCGAGACCGGGGTGCGGAGCCCTTATAAAGGCTGCGCGCGGCACCGGCGGCCCTTCCGGCCCGGCGCGTGGACAAGATGGTGGGTGCGGAGGTCTCGGGCCTTGCCGCGCATCCAGCGGGCATCGCCGCCATCCCGGCCTCGGCCACCGCGCGGCCCCGCGCCCACCGCCCCCGGCACCTGCGGGACGCCGTGCGGGGCTCATTTCGGGGCGCGGGCGAGGCGTTGCGCGGGGAGGCCGGGCGGGTTTGTGCGGTGCCGGACGGGGCGCGGGGTTCGGGTGGAGCGGGCGGCTGTGGGGGCATTTGGGGATCCTTTTTCGGGAACGGGGGCAGCTTTTGTCTGGAGAGCTCCTGTGGTTATGGCCGTTTTAGGGCTTTAAACTTCGCTTAGGGTAGCTCGTGACGAGTATTTTTGTTTTAAATAAAACCATATATCTTTTTAGTTCCGTGTGTAGCTGCACGGTATTTTTCTTTAATTTCTTTTAATTTAATTTTCTTTTAATTTGTGAGATTGGATGGGTAAATCTTTCTTTGGGCTGAGAGTTCTCCGGATGGAACTCTGTCTTTACATGGTCGCAGAGGGAAGGCTGCAAGGGTGGTCCTCGGGGAGAACAAATAACTGGAAAAGATAGTGGAAAAAATACCAAAATAACTTCGGAAAAAATACTGAATGATTGACTCAGAAGTGGATGTTGAGGTGCTGGTTTACTGCAGTTTTGCAAACTGAAATTGTTTCTGTAATGCTTGTTTTGGTACCAATTCATTGAAGAATGTGAAGTTGTCTGTGCTGTATTTTCATTTCCATTTTTCATGGACTGAAATTCTGGTGGCACGCTGTTGCCAAATCACAGCTGAGGTTCCCTGGCTAGGGTGGGACTTGGTGCCATCTTAGAATAAGCTTGGAAGGGGCATTACAGAAGACTGAGAAGTACCTAGTTATTGCATGGGGATTACGTTCCTGTAACATGATGGAATTCAGAAGCCCCGTGGCTGATAATGGGAATTTCTAGAACATGAAATGTCTTGGATACATGTAATATTCATGATCTCAGGCGAGGACAGAGTAGGCCTTGGCCCTCAAGTGGGCCTAAGCAAGTCTGTAGCAAGCCCTAAGTGTCAGTTTTCTCTCCACAGTCTCACCGCAAGTTCTCAGCCCCGAGGCACGGCTCCCTGGGCTTCCTGCCCCGCAAGCGCAGCAGCAGGCACAGGGGCAAGGTCAAGAGCTTTCCCAAAGATGACCCCAGCAAGCCTGTCCATCTCACCGCCTTCCTGGGGTACAAAGCTGGCATGACCCACATTGTCCGGGAGGTGGACAGACCTGGATCTAGTACGTATCAGTGTTCCCCTTAAAACAGGAGGTGGGTTTGGTCAGGAATGGTCGCAGGTGGCCCCTTCAGTAGCAGCTCTGGGTTTTAGTTCTGGCTTGACTTCACCCTGTTCCAAGTCCAAGTAGGCAGTGTATTTTTGCTGTAAAGGCTGGTTTGGTTTAGCTGCACAGTAACAGGCTTCTCCTTGGGATGGCTTTTCTGGATGTGGGGGACATCAGTCAGCTGTCTTCAGTGCTTTTTTGGAGATTGTCCAGTCCCGGATCGTTGCTGCCATCCATTTTGCCTATCCAGTTCTGCTGATCTTTCTCCTGAGCCAGCCTCAAAGTTTTGCATGGCATTAAATTATGACTTCAGAGTTGGTCGCTGTACCCTGCATCTTCTCTGTGAAAAGAACTTGAGTCATTTAACCTTTCACATGGAGGACTTGGGAGTGAGAAAAAACAGGTGGTGTTAGAAGAGTTCCTGCTGGAATTAATTGTGCTGCATTTCTGTTTCCATCCAGAGGTGAACAAGAAGGAGGTGGTGGAGGCAGTCACTATTATAGAGACACCTCCCATGGTCATCGTGGGCATCGTGGGATACGTGCAGACTCCTCGTGGTCTCCGTAGCTTCAAGACCGTCTTTGCCGAGCACATCAGCGATGAGTGCAAGCGCCGCTTCTACAAGAACTGGTGAGAGAGCAGAGCCTTGACTGGTCTCAGGCTGTGGTTCATATGTTTTACTGCTGGGTTGCAATGATCTTAGCACAGCTTTTTAGCAGTTAGTGTTTAGGTTTGATGGACTGGCCTAATAACGGGATAGAGTGTAGGAATGGCTCCGTGAGGGTGGCAGCATAACTTTAGGTAGTGCCCTTCTTGGTGTGGGTGTGGTGGCTTTGGGTTTGGCCTGGGAGCTCCTTAACAGGCTACACGTGATGATACTTCGACGGGCGGACATAAGGAAATCGCCTCTGGCGCTTGTTGTTGAGTGTCGAGTCCTGACTGTAGCCCTGTTTTCTCAGGAAAGGGGAAGACAAGTGTCACTTGAGATTGCTGTTCCAGGCACTGTTGTTGTGATTGAAAGTGTGCGTTTGCCCGAGTGTGGCTCCAGCGTGTCTGAAGCTTCCAGCCTGTTTATGAACTTGGCAGGCTGAAAAGACGTCAGAGTGGAGCAATAAAGTTCTCAAGGGTGTTTTAGTAACGACCTTGCTGTTGGCCAGACAAGGGGGGGAAATTAGGTTATTTTCAAGCAAATCACAGTCACCTCACAATTGCTTTGAAAA